TTTATGCAAGGAGATTTGGCTCCTTTTAGTGGAGAACAGTATTTATAAAACAAATCTGGGCGCCGGAAAAGAGCTAGAAAGTGAGTGTTTCCCTCCTTCCCTCCCTCCCACCTTCCTTCCTCTCTCCCTCCCATCCGTACATCAATCCATCCACCTTAAAAGCCATGAATTCACGGGAAACTCCAATTCCAGCCCAACACGAGGTTCGCTCTGGCCCCCCCTTTCTAAATTTGTAACTTCCTTCTCCAGTAACCAGAAATCTGGCTCGTGTTACCTCGAACGTATTTACGTATTTGCTCAACACTGGAACACACAGAAAGTGGTTTCGGAATTGCTGACCCGTGCTACCGTGAAAAGCAAACTTACTAACCAGGATTCAATATTTACGTTCAGTTCTTTTTGTCTTTAGCCTGAGGGGATACAGTAAGTATTATGTTTAAAAGTTCCTTGGGCTTGTTCCTTTTTCTTTCACTTCAGAGTGGGCGTGCTACTCGTGTGGGTTAAGGTGAGGCTGCCTTGTACTTCCGTATGCCATTAGAGGGTCCCCACTCCAATCCTTGTTTCTTTGTTGTTTTAAACTTGGTTTTCTGAGGGTCAGAGCCGTAGGGAGAAGCGTTCTCTGGGAAGCGCCACCGTTCCCCACTCGCCCCGTGTCCACCCAGAGCTCCCCCGCCCCTCCTCCCTGCGAATAACAGTTCAACCTCCTGGTTTGCTCTTCCTGTTGTTTCTTTCTGCACGAACAGACTCGTGCGTATTTGCTTACTTCCCTTTCTTCCTTAGAGAAAGTGACCATTTTATAGATATTCCTTTGCTTCCCCCCCCGCCACACACACACACACACACACACACACACACACACACACACTTACTCTAGCCTGGAAACATTCTCTATAGTTCACGGAGCTCGTCCCCATTTTTTCTACAGCGGAGTAACAATCCACTGTGTGAATGCAGCGTAGCTTACTCAACCACTCTCTGATGCGTAGCACCTGGTGTCCAAAACGACAATGAATCTCTCGTTTGTGCGTATTTTTGTGTTGTTTGAGGTGTAAATTCCCCAAGAGAGATGCTGAGCCGACACGTACAGAGCTGGGTTAGATACTGCCAGAGTCCCCACCAGTACCAATGAACCAGCGAGTACGGGACACCTGTTTCCGCACAGCCTCTCCAGCACCATGTGGCGCCACGCTTCTCGGCTTTTGCCAATGTGATGTGTAGAGATGGCGTCTCAGTGGACTTGTGTTCTGCCTTCCTCTTGTACATGCAGTTGTCAAATGTTTAAGGGATGTACGTGTGTGTGTGTACACACATACACAGTGTTTTTTATATCTGTATGGCCTGTCCAAAAGGTATCTAGCCATATAATATGAAAAACAGAGACACTGATTGGAAAAGATACAAGATACAAGAAACATTGTACATTGGACAATGATGCCTCAGTGCCCTTCAAAGTAGGCACTTTGGGACCTCACACGGTTCTCCCAGTCGCCATCAGCTGCCCCGTCGTATTTTTCTAAATGTCATCCACAGTCTGAAATCTCTTCCCTTTCAAAGGTGATTCTAGTTTTGGGAAAAGCCAGAAGTGGCAGGGTGCCAAGTCTAGGCTGTAGGGGGGCTGAGTCACCTGGGCGATTTGATGTTTTGCCAAAAATAACTTTGCAAGAGATGTGATGCGTGAGCGGCCACGTTGTCGTGTTGAAGCTGCCAGTCAGCAGTTGCCCACAGCTGCGGCCTTCTGAATCATCCGGATGGTTTCCCCGGAGGAATGTTCAAGTTCAGAGCAAAGTCTGATGCGGATTCATGGCTCTACTCACTCAGTCACTTTGAATGGGACAGCCACACAGTGCACATGCGCACTCAGTGGTGTCTACACCCCCACTGTCTGGTACAGTGAAGTCGTCATTGCTCACGCATGTGCATTCCAGTCCACTCTCCTTGTCTGCCAGGTTACATCAACGTTGTGCAAATTGTTCTCATTATTGTAACAAGGGCTGGACTTTTTCCGGACTTACTTTATATATGTATGTGTGTGTGTATATGTGCGCATATGTATATAAGTACATGTATACATGTCTATGCATACATATTTAGTGTGAATTACCTATTCATGTTTTTAACAGTCCCTTATATATTAGGGAATATTAGTACTTTATCTGTGTTATCTTGCCAATATTTTCTCCCAGTTTGTTGCCTTTTGATGTTGTTTATGGCCTTTTTTTACTATACAAACTTTTTTTTATTTTTATGTAGTCAAATATATCACCCTTTTTTTTAACTGCCTCTCATTTTGCGTCCTCATGGCCTTTCCCTACGCCCATGCCACCCAGGGCTTCACCCACTTGTGTCTGGTACTTAAAGGGTTCGACTTCCTAAATTTAGACCCCTGATCCGTTTGGTGCTCGTTCTTACCTGCAGTGAAAGGCAGGGAGCTGATTTTATCTTTCTTGGCAAACGTCTATCAAACCACCTCAGGGCCATTTGCCGAAAAGTCCACCTTTGGCACAGAGATTTGAAACGCCACTTGTATTATATACTAAAGTTGTGTATGTAATGGGGTCTATTTTTGGACTTGGCGTTCCTTTCCGCTGGTCTCTCCACTTATTCACGTGCTGACACAGCTCTGTTTCATCACAGAGGCTTTATCATGCGTTTGAAAATCTAGCAAGGGCAGCACCACCTCACGGCTTTTGCTTTCACTGTTTCCTGGCTATTCTTGCATGTTTTCCAAATAACCTTTGGCACCTGCTTGTCTAGCTTAATGGTAAAAACAAACAAACAAAAAAACCTTAAGGGTATTTTAGTCCAAATGCATTAAATGTATGAGTTAGGTTGGGGAGAACCGACATCCTTGTGATACTGAGCTGTCTCGTCTGTGAGCAAGGCACGTCTTACATTTGTTCAGGTCACGTCTGTGTCTTTGGGATGCGTTTCAAAGTTAGCTCATGTCAATTCTGCACATTTTTTGTTAAACTCATTCTTAGGGACTGTATCTTATTTGTTGCTGTTGTAAATGCAGACCGTAATGCCCTTTCCTGGCTACGGTGTGTGTACAGAAGGACTCTTTCTGCATGTCCTGCCGTCCTCCCTAACGAACCCCTTCACTGCGTGAATCAGAGGACCACGGACCCACTGAGGTTTCCCAGGGGTGCCATCACGGCCTGTGCAGAGAGATCCAAGCTTTCTCCCTTTTCAGTTATGCCTCTGGGTGACTTCCCCCGTCCATTTGGATCGGCCAAGACCTTCAGTGTAACGTTGAGGACAAGCGGAGACAGCTGGGCATCCTTGCCTTGTTTCTGATCTTAGAGGAATCCTCACTTTTTTGGGTTTTCCCACTAAGATGTTATATGTAGGGCATCTAAGCAATCCTATTTTTAAAAATACCTGTTAATTCCTATTTTTAAATGTATTTACCAAGATGCTGAATTTTATAAAATGCTCTTTTGGCATCTATGGTGACAACCATATGTTTTTAATCCTTTGGTCCATTAATATGTTAATGAATTACTGTATCTATAAATATATTAATTTTTATAATATTGAACCAATCTTGCACTCTCAGAAAAATCTGACCATGGTATATTATTTTCCTAATGTGCTGCTGAAATCTGTTTATTAATATCTATTATTTCTGGTGCTCACAAGGGATATTTGTCTGTATTTTTTTGTACTGCCTTTAACATATTTAAAGATCAACAGAATTGACTTCACTACAAAGAACACGGATACTGTCCCTTCACTCTCTGTGGGCCCCTGCTCTGCCCACGGAGGCGCTGCCCTCCCACGAGACCGAGCAGAAGCTGCAGCCAGTGATCCCACAGGACGACTCTGCGGGCATCTGCAGCCCACGGGGACCGAGGCCGTGAGTGCCGCGCGCATGGCCTGGGGCCAGGCACTGACGCCAGAGAACCCGCCCGAGGCCCCCCTCACCCCAGACCGACCGTGAGGCTGGACAGCCCTCAGGCCTCCCGCGGAGGCCCGGCCCACGTCTGGCGGAGATCAACCCAGCGTCTGGGTCTCCCCACGCTCCTCGCGGTCACCGACAACGCCGGCGTCACAGAGGCGCCTGCTTCAGGACTGCCCTCAGCCGTCTCCGCTGGAACTTCAGGAGCAAGTGAGAACGTACTCAGATGTTCTGCAGTGCACGTTCACTCCACTGTGACAGCTGGCTCGGTCTCTGCGAGGAACCGCTAAGCCCCGCAAGTGAAGGGTCTCGACCACAGAGCCCTCTGGCAAAGCCGCACCCCAGAATCACAGGCGGAGCTTTTGAGAACAAAACAAAGCAAACAGAGGCTAAGACCCCTCTCGATCCTGCCGAACCCCAATCTCCAGGGCCAGAGCTCGGGTGTGTCCTAGGTGATCAGAAAGCAGCCGGTCCAAAGTCCGATGTTCTGAAACCACTGCGCCAAAAGGTGTTTCTCGACGACTTTAAAAAAACAAAACCTGTCTTTCTTGAAAACCCCCCAGAGCTATAGTATTAAAGTGTCAATAATTTTCCTGGGGCACCACAACTCCTGAAATGAAGTCCTGCGTTCTTTGCACGCCCTCCAGGATAACGCAGACACGGCTGAAGAGGTGTCACTTCCTGTAGCTAGGGTGGTAGGTAGCTGGTGGGGGAGGAGGAGGGGAACAGAGAGCAAGGGGCCGGGGCCTGGCAGTGGGACGGAGAGCGGACACCAGACAGTGCCTCTGGCGCAAGGTCAAGGCTTGGTCAAGGCGCCCGCCCCGTCAGTGTTCTGTTCCCCTAGGGTGGCTTCACTCACGGTTCCCAGACGCCAGGCCTGAGCAGTTTGCAGCCCGGTGAAGCACAGTGAGGGCTGGGCCCGGTCCTGTCCCTCCCCCTCCCCCACTTCACCCCCCACCTCACCCCCCACCTCACCCCCCACTCCCACCCCAACACCACAGGCTCCCTCCCAGCAGCAATACCCCAGCCAACACAGCACCGTTCTCCTTCCACCCACTTCGAGATTTCTCCGAGGCCTTGTGAACTAATTAATCAATCAATCGATAAGCCATGGCTCTTCAACTACAGGCAAAGGATGGGGTCTTCGGGCACCACAAGGTTCTAGGCTGCACGGAACCCAGCGGTTCCATGTGCCAAGCACCCAACACGTGCGGGGCCGTTGGTATGAGCGCTTTTCTCATTCAGAAACACTCGTGACTCCCGTGATGCTCACTGCCACGTGGCCCCCTTTCACGGACGAGGAAGTGGGGGCTACACGGGTTGAAGAGCCAGGGTCGCCTGGCTCTGAGGCCCACTCCCTGGGCCACTGTCAAAGAACCCCTTCCCTCTGAAGGTGGAAATGCCGCCAGTCTCTCACAGTGCGCCTGCCAGCTGTGCGAGCTGGATGGTCCTGGGGGTTAGACATCTGCGGGAAAGTTATGAAGATGCGGACCCAAAGCATAAAATCAAAATGGGGTTCTTGCACTTTTTTAAAGAACTGAACCAGAGTCATCTTAAATTTTGTAGAAGCAGGACGCCGCCTCTGTGCCTGAGTTCACCAGCACCGCCTCCTGTGTCTCAGGAGGCGTCTTCCCTGCTCTGCCTGTTTCTGCCGCAAACACGCCCAGCTTCCCTCCACCCCGAAGGGACGGAGAGTGCTACCACAGGCAGTTTCCTGACCCACGGAGCGAGGGGCTGCTGAAACACCTGGGCAGACACAGGACACGAAGGTAACAAGTTCGTTCCTCTGGGAAGGGCAGCTCCACCCTGCCAGTCAGGCCCTCCCTGGGCCCCGTTTCCACCCCAGCACCCTCGCCGCTCGAGGGTGATTATGACGAAGAGCTTCCTGGCCCTGCCAGCTGGCCTCAAAATCATCGCTTCTTTCACCAGCTTGCTGCCCTGGATATCACCCTGCCTCCCTCCCCCGAGAGGCTCAGACCTCTCTGGAGCCTTCCTCGGACCCCGCCCTGCCAGAGGTCAAGCAGCCTGCCCGAGCCGGCTGGATCAGAAAGCTCAGCACCAGCTTAACCCTCCGCTCTGGGGGACAGGGGCTCCTTTCTTTCACGCAGGACTGTGCTCCAGGATGCGCCGGGCTTATGGCCCCGTAAACTAAACCTGGTTCCGAATCCAGGTCTGCGACAGACTCCCGTTCAAAGGGTCCCTCGCCCCCACCCTCCCCAGCTGTTTTCCACCCTGCTCTGTGGCCCCCCGAGGCTGGCCCCTGGTCGGGCTTCATGCCGGCAGGACGCTTGGTGTCTTGCTCCCTCACCGAACTCTCTTGTTGCAGTTAGTTTCACCACTGATTCTGCAGGTTTCCGGGCACGCGACCCCATCAGCTGCAGACGGAGGTAGTTCTACTTCCGTTCCAGTGCTGGTGCCCCTGCTTGGCTCCCCCGTCTCTGTGGAGTGGCTGCCGTCTCTAGGATGGCGCTGCAGACACGCGGAGTGGGCATCTGGCCTTGTTCCTGGTCCCCGTGCAAATGCTCGCCGGGTGTCCCTGTTAAGAGGGAGACCAGCTTCAGGATTCAGGGGCTCTTCCAACGTGGGGCCTCGACCCCTGCACTCACTGATTCTCCGAAGGGCCCTGGGAAGTACAAACTATTTCCTCTCTTGTCCCTTGAGGCCCAGGATGCGGGGCTGGTCCTGGAGACTGCTCCACCCCGTGCCGGGTCCTGTCACCCCGCCCTCACCTCCGTCAGCTGTCCCTTCCTCGCAGGCGGGCGCCGTCTGTGCCCCGATGGCCGCAGGTCCTGACCTCACACCCGGCGCCGTGCCCTCGCCCCCGTCTCAAAGGGACACAAGCGCACGGAGATGGCCACGCGCACAGACGCAGGTCGGCTTTTCCTGGGGCTTCGGGGACACTTCTCTCCTGGGGCCTCTGTCTTCATCTTGCCTCCTCCCGCCCCTTCCAAAAGAGAGTGCTTCCCGTTTGTTAATTCTTGAGAGTTTTTATTGCCCTTTTATTTTGCTTGACATTTTATAATCAATGTTCTGTATATATTTATATATGCTTTTCTATTTAAACTTTTTTCAAATCTGAAAAACACGGTGCCATACCGCCGAAGGTGTCGGGAAACATGCTCAAATCAGGACGGGCTCCAAAGGCCGTGCTGCCAACAAAACGCCAGTAAAACCTGAAACCCGGGTTCAGACACACTGGGAACGGTCCAAAACTTAAAACTTAAAGAACTTCTTTATTCCAGTAAATCAGCTTCCCTGCGAATACCATCAAAATCCTGTTTTAATGAGTGAGGGAATATCAGAGGAAGGGGTGGAGAAGGAAAGGATTTGGACGAGTACAAAATTTAATTTAAAAACTATTATGAGAAGTTTAATTTCCCCCTCCCCCCCAACCAAATACATAAATCTTTTCCATGGGTTTTCTTTGTTTCATTTTTCTTTAAAAAAATTTTTTTAAAGACATCCTGAATCATCTCAAGCAAGACAGAATGAGCCACGGGGGGAGGAGGAGTCTTCGACAACAAACATTTATACACTTGATTCCTATGAATAAAAAAGCCGCGCTAGCTCTACGGGAGAGTGCAAACGAACCTTAAGGGAAGTGGAGTTCCCACGGAACGCTCACCCGCCCTGGGGGCAGACGCGCGAGGAGGAGGGCCAGCGCCCAAAGCCAGGGGGCCGCTTCAACTCGGTGACAGCCAGCGGGCCCGAGCTGGGGGGGCAGCTCCCCTCACGTGAGGGCTGGTCCCAGCGCGGCGAACCCGAGCCTGCGTTTGAGGGCGGGCGCGCGTGGAAGCGAGCTCCCTTCGTCAGTGCGGTCATAACGCACCACACACAGCACTGCTCGCAGCTGCGTTCCCGCGCCCGCGCCGGAACTCACCAGGGCCGAGAACAGACCCCGAGAGCGGCGACTGCTCACGTTTTCTGGTTGGCAGTGTGTGTGCCCACGTGTGCACAGGCATGCATGTGCATGCGTGTGCGTGCGCACTGATTCACCCAGGACAATGCTACTTCTTCTGCGGGTCCTGTGTAACTCATTTCGGATGCGTCCCCGAGGGCCACAGGGAGAGGAGGTGCAACTCTTGTCTCGCCAGGAAATTGGCTGTTCGGCGCCTCCCTTTCAGGGAGCGCCCGGCCCTCCAGCTCCAGCACAACCACGTTCAGCAGGTACTTGCACCGCCCCAGGTGACGGGCGGCCAGCTCAGGCGTCACTGCCGCAGCAGGGGGCCCCGCATAAAACCCAGCACAGGCGCTTTGCTGGGGGTCCCCCGAGGGTCATCTGTTTATGCCGAGCCCCACTTGTCTTGTATATGAAACCGGACCCACCCCGTAACCTCACTGGGCCTCCTGAGAAATCAGCGTGCCCCCACACTCGGACACCCCGAGCACAGCAGCCAGCACGTCATGGGCACCCAGTTACCACCAGCCCCCCTTCCTGCCGCACGCTAGGGGTGGGGGCTCCCCGGCAGTGTCCCCACAGACAGGAGGCGGCCCCTACATTCCAGAGCAGGCCGCTTTACAACAGGGCCCCCTCTGCAGAGGTCCCTTGTCCCCGCAGATTCCAGAAACAGTGGAATCGTCGCCTTGGCCCCTCCCACCCCACGTGCCCGTGAGGAAGATGAGGAGCAAGGGCCTGTGAAAACGCCGGATGAAGGTGGGGGCTGTCTCCTGGAAGACAAATGCCACGCTCACCTGTGCCACAGCCCCGTGGGGAGCTGCCCTGCCCGGCCCGGGCCCCTCTGCTCGTCTCCCCCACCGGTTCCGGTCTGATTGCCTGTTTCTTCCGTTTCTACCCAGTCTGACTTGGGCAGCCCCCTGAAGCCCTCAGGAAACGGTTCAGGGGCCCCGCCCAGGAAAAGACACCACTGCGGCACGGGTCCCTTTCGTGCCCAGGCGCGCCGCGTGGAGCAGCACCCTAGGGAGCCCTGAGGGACGCGCACATCTGGCGGGGGCAAGGGGCAAGGCCACGGCCACACGCAGCGTGCTGGGTTCCCGGTGCAGCTGGGCTGGGCGCGGCATGCCCTGAGCGGAACGGCCCAGCACGGCCGCCCTTCGTCAACAGAGGTGACGCAACTGGACTCTCCGGCAGCACGGGCGGTGACACACCTCGAGACCCGCTGCTAAACACTGTCCCGGCAAACGACCCTCGTAAAGCCAAGAATAGTAAACGGAGCTTAACGTTCTCATGAAATCGAGATTGCCGGGTGTGCTTTCACAAAATGAAACTGCCTGGAACTTCTCATAACGCTTTTTACGATAAGCATTAAAACGCAGGGAGGAACATGCAAGTTCCTGCCGCAGACCAGGTCGTAATGGGGGAGGGGAGGGCTTGTGGGCGGGGCCTGCGAGAGGCTCCTGCGTGCGCTGCAGTCGGAGGTCATTAGAGAAAATGAGTGTGTCAGTAAAGGGATCCTGAAGCCATGAAAACTCAGAGGAACTTGCAGTGAGGATGAATAGCCTCTTTGGTAAAGACGAGTGACTCCTTATTGTCAGCCCGAGTGCCGTCACCCGATTTCCCACCGCCTGGGGTGCAGTCACGTGCCAGAGCTCTGTCGCTGCCAGGGGCTGCATTTCGTTGTTTTGTAGGACATTTTTTTTATTTTTTAAGATCAGGAACACATTTTTTTTATTAAGAAAGTTCTAGTAGGTACCAGAAAGTACCTCCAGTTAGCAAATGAGTACCTGCATTGTCCTATCAGAAAATAGGCAACAAAATGGCCATCGACAGCCTCGCAGTCCCTCTGAGGTGACGCTTGTACTTCTTAACCACTACAACCTGGGCTGCCTAGCGTCACAGAGAGAACAGAACCGCGGAGTCAGACAACCCCAGCCCGCGGTGAAAAATTACCTAATGCCGTTCTACTTCTTTCAAAAGCATTCCATTAATTAAAGTTGTGAAGTATGACTTCAGCTTTGAACTACCCAAGTGTTTTAACTACATTTTCCCTATAGTTTTTTTTGTATCCACAAACAAAGAAAACCTCAACGTACTCTGTCCACATGGCCATGCGTTCTACATCAGTGAGAGCGAAAGGAGCACTCCCCACACCACAGTCGGAAGGAGGTAGGATACTTAACTTATGAAAGTGATCATACTACAGAGAGTTTGGAAAATAGAAATGAAAGATGTAATTATTTGTACCCTAACATAACTATTATCACTTTTCCGTATTTTCTCATTCTTTTTCAGATATATGTTTTAATATTTTAATCTATGAACGATTAATTTATTTTAACCTGCTTTTTAATTCATCGGAGCATTTCTCCACCTTGTTAGTCTTTCTGCTGATGGATACTGTTCCAATGAATTACTGTATACAAAGTAATTATAAGTCTTTGTGAGTATGGTTTTTTCCGTATGTCTGATTATTTTAAGGGTTGATTACTGGAAGTAGGATTACTGGGTCAAAGGCTACAAACTGCTTCTAATTCCTCCTGCCCACTACTGAGTAGCTTTTCAAACAGCTGTCCCCATTCACACTCCGAGGTGGAAGAACAGTACCTGTTCCATTGTATCCTTGCCTGTCTTGAATGGTGTCATTAAAACAAACAAACAAGCAAACATGCCACTTGTTTGTTTGGTCTTTGCTGATTTAGTGGGTGAAGGGAGTTCAATGAATCGTGAAGGAGTACGAAGTAGGGCCCTATGATGTTATCTTGGCTCCTACAGTCAAGAGTTAGAGACGTGAAAATAACCACAAAGACATATGCTGTGTTTAGCTGCCCTTTGCAGGGTCTTAAGTTTCTGCTCATCTACAGAGAAAGGTCTAGAAGGCAGAGAGAAGGCTCCAGTGTGGTCAGTTGAGACTCAGCGAGGGGCTCTCTGCCCGGAAGGCAGGGCAGGATGTTATGGGGCCGGTCTGGCAGGGCATCATTCCAGTCAGCCTGAACAGCACTCGAGTTTCAGGAAGCAGGAGATGGCAGAATTTTGGTATTCTCTCCACTTAAAAAAATTACAAAGTTGGCAGAATTTTCTTAAGTCATTCTGTTCGCCATCCCTGACTATCTGGGTTGATTCGGCTTGGGTGCAGCTTCTGATTCTTTTCCTGGTGAAAAATTCAGGTTGGACAGTGTGCTTTGTCAACAGAGCAAAATGCAATGACAAATTAAGGTGTGCCTTAGTTTGAGCTTGCTTGTATCTACACTGGGTTAAATACGCCTTTATCGAGGATCTTCTAGAACATGATTCATAATAGAAAATGTTTCACACGAGGCAAAAAATAGTAATGTACATACACTTGGCCCAAACAAAATCTACACCCACATCACTGTGCCTGGGGTAACCCTAAAAAACACCCCTGCTTACAAAAAAGTTCAAACGTGCAGCTGGCAGCAAGAAGCGTGTCGTGGAACGGCGGCCATGTGTGCTCACTACCGGTGCCTCAGTGGCAAGCCCCCGAACACACCCAGCTGGAGGGGGCGTCCCCGCGGCTCCCCAGCCCACCCAGCCCGTCTTCCCAGAAGCAAGCCTGGGACTCTCCGCAACGCGGCCTTCAGCATTTGCGAGAAGCAGCACAGCCAACTGCCAAATTCCTGCTGGGTCGGCCAAGAGGTCTGAACCAAAAATGAAAAAGCATGAAGGATTTGGTTTTTAAAAGCAATACATCAAAAATAAAAAGAGCCCTTTTGTATGGATTTTCAGTGTGGGAGCCAGAGAGAAGAAAATCATTCTGCCTCGCGGGAGGAAGCCGCGTGACCTCACCTGAGACTTTTCTCGTACCATGTGGATTTTTCTCACCCCATTAAATGTAACCCACTCTAGGTGGGTCTGCGCCGCCTGCGAGAAATAGAGAGTGATGGGAACATGCGACGGGCAGGCCGGGGCCGCGAGCGGCGCGGAGCGCCCGGCGGGGGGCCCTCCCAAGCCCTGAGAGCCAGGGCCGTGCGGGCAGGGCCCGAGGGCCGAGTGGAATGCGGCAGTTTCAAAGCGGCCTGTCTGCGAGACCACGGGGGTTAAGTTTCCAAGCTCACAGGCCTTGCTGGGGGGGCTCCCGGAACACACTCTCTGCAAAAGGAAGAGGAAAAGCGAAAGGAAAGAGGAAAAAAAGAAAACAGGAGGAGAAACAGGTTAGGATGAGGAGTCCTCACCACTTAGAAAGAAAGAGCAGGCCAGGACGGCTGAGCAGGCCCACGGCGTGAGCCCCGGGGAGCAGCGGCGGATAAAACCAGGGCTTGGGGCCGCTGCGGGCACAGACAGGCGCGCACATGCCTCGGAACCTGGGGGAGGATGCACTACCTGCCACCAAGGCGCTGGGACCCCGCCGCACAGACCAGGAAAAGGCAAACCTGGTGCTGGGTCCCCAAGTCCCCAACCCATTAGCCAGGTGCCAATAGTGAAACCTATAAAAGGACTCGGTTAAATCACCTGGCGGCGCTCAGCAGGCTCGCAGCGCTGGTCCCTGGGGACAGGCAGCCTTTTCCTCCATCACATGGCAGGAGGACAAGCTCACTGTGGCATCCGTGTGACCAGGGACAGCGGCCACCTGCTCACAAACCATGTACTGTGCTCCTGTCGGGGCAGACGGAGCAGGTGGGGCCACGTGAAGTCACTGCTGACCTGCCGCCACGTTAGACCTGCAGGAAGGGCAGTTCCATGGGACCCACACTAAGCAGAGGCACCCCTGGCTGATTTTACTCCATCGACCCCGATGTGAGCTGCGGCTTGTGATTCCGTTTAATCCCGGGACAGTGCTCCAAGCTGGGGACCGAGACAACCCCATGTGTCGACCAGGCAACGGAAGTCACCACTCACAGTCACCTGGTAAGAGGCACGCCCAGAACCCATGACAAAGAACTGCTCCTAGACGGGACACCCACAGCCAAGGTGTCATCTCAGAGCCGCAGGGCTGTGGCTCCGCGGAGTGCCTCTGGAGGCGCAGCCCGGAGCTGGGCCTGTGGGGACAGGGCTCAGCCCCGCCAGACCGGCCCTTCGGGATGACCAGGACAGAACTGCTCACTGCGTCCTACCCATGACAGTGGCCCTCCCCACTTGGCCTCCTTCCCCGTACTTCCCTGTGAAGGCACACGCCAGGCGTCCGCTGTAGGGGCGGGGCCCTGACAACGGTGCAGCAGGTGCGTCTGCTCCCCGCACAGCCGCCAGGGCGGGGAGGGCGGCCGGTCCTCGCTCCACTGTCACCGGGCTCGCCACTCGCTTCCCTGCCCTTGCAGAAAGGCTCGGTCCGACTTCGCCCCCAAATGCACTTTTCTCTCTGACTAAGTGACTGTTCACAGGCGCTGTGGGTCCTACGGAGAGGAGAAACCTTATCTTTGCAAAGGCCATGAGAGCCCGAGTTGGGGCCCAACAGTTAGGCTCGCCAATGCCCCGTTCCCTTCCAGACGTCCCCTCAGGTGCAATGCGCTTCCCTGGCACGCCGGCTTCCCAAGGGGCCTCCCGGACGTCCAGAGGCTGTGAAGGACGCAGGACGCGGGACACCCACACACAGGACACGGGGGCCTCTCCCTGGTGTGTCAGTCTCACTCTGACAAGCAAGAAAGCCAAGGAAGCCCATAGGTTAAAATATGGCTTTTACATGAAAACAAATATACATCAGGGTTAGGGAGTAGAAATCACGCAGCATTTGTGGGAATGTTAAAGATAAATCAGACCTCAGGGCTATTTGCCTGCAGCCAGAACAAGATGGGTGCTTCTCTGTGCCCGGCATCACCGAGCGGG